GGCAACTTGAGGCCATTTCCTCTTGTCCTGTCCCTTGTCCCTTGGGAGCAGAGCCCGACCCCCCCTGGCTCCAGGCTCCTGTCAGGAGCTGTGCAGAGCCAGAAGGTCTCCCCTGAGCCTCCTTTGCTCCAGGCTCAGCACCCCCAGCTCCCTCAGCTGCTCCTCCCCACACTTGGGCTCTAGACCCTTCCCCAGCAGCTCCGTTGCCCTTCTCTGGCCACGCTCCAGCCCCTCAAGGTCCTTCTGGGAGTGAGGGGCCCAGAACTGACCCCAGGATTCCAGGTGTAGCCTCCTCAGTGCTGAGTGCAGGGGGATGATCCCTGCCCTGGTCCTGCTGGCCACACTAGTGCTGATCCAAGCCAGAATGCTGGTGGCCTCCTTGGCTACATGGGCACACTGCTGTATAGTGTTGTGGAAGGGGCCTGTGGTCCACAAGAGATGAACAGAGCCCAGAGAAGTGGTGTGTGTTAATGTTTAGAATAATTAAGCAATAAAGGGCAGTGTGTCCTGACTATCTTCTTGGTAGCTGTAGTAGCAAAGGAAATGTTGGTGGCCCAATATCTGGAGGGAGAATGTGCACACAGATGTGCTGAGGCTGGGAAAAGCTTTGTAGAAAAATGTTGTGGAGATGGGGACAGGCTTTAGTGTGACTTCCCAAGGAGTCAAGATTTACCTGATCTGGTTAGCCCCAGTCTAAACTTGGTTACAGAGATGTCAGGAACCTGGAGAGGTTTCTCTCTGTGGTGTGAAAATGAGGCATTGGGGAAGGAAAAAGCTGCTGCTTGTTGCTCCTGCAGTTCTCTGTCGTGCAGAGCAGTCATGTTACCTCATGTTGTCTCTTGCTGGGTGGGGAGCGTGACACACCACAGTGAAGATGTTTCAGGCAGTGCAGACAGAAGCTGCTGGGGCTGTTGTGGGGGAGGGCTGGGCCCGAGGGGGTGGCAGGGAGCTGGTGGGGGAGCTTCAGCAGGCAAGTGTGGAAGAGCTTTGTTTGCTTGTTGGAAAAGTTATTCTGGGCCACCTGGTATCTGTAAGAATAGATGACCAAGAGACTGCTGGGCACTGTGGTGGTCTGGACACTTCCTGCAGCTCACAGCAGGAGATGAAGAGTTTAAATCACACATTGTCCATCTTGAGTCAGTAGGTCCCAAAGTTCATCACTGAAGGCTGGCTGGTGTGAGTGAAATGAGTTTGTTTCAGTCCATTCATCACTGGTATCTCTATCAGCCCTTTCCAAGGGTGGGCCATAACCAGGAGCTGCTTCCAAGTCCAGCTGAAGCTTGTGAATTCACAGGGAAGTTCTGTTGTCTCTCAGTCTTGCCCTTTCCCATTCTTTCCCTTCCCTAAACTGTCATGGAGAAGCTTGTGGTGAAGACGTTGGGTTTGTCCTGGTTTTCTGTTGAACAGCAATGGAGAAAACTGTCATAGAGAGGATTTCCCAGGGGTTCAGGACCTCAGTGGAGGGATGGCTGCCATGAAACAGGCGTGTTTGTCAGGGCTGAACAAGGGCTCTGGCCAAGCAGGAGGGAGCCGAGGCCTGCCTTGGTTCTGCAGCATTTCATGGCCAACCTTTGGCATGCTGGAGGGCTGGAGTGAAGGGCTGAAATTTGGAGTCTTTGGAGTCTGCTGTTTCATAGAATCATAGCATCACTCTGGTTGGAAAGGACCTCTAGGGTCATCAAGTCCAACCTTCCTCCCAACATCTCCCCAGCCACTAGAACACAGCCTCAAGTGCTACATCTGCTCGTTCTTTTGAACCCCTCCAGGACTCCACCACCTCCCTGGACAGCCCATTCTAATGCCTGACCACTCTGCCAGGGAAGAAATTCCTCCTAATTCCAATCAAAACCTCCCTGGCACAACTTGAGGCCATTTCCTCTTCAGTAATTTGGGAGAAGAGACCAACACCAGCCTCACTCCAGCCTCCTTTCTGGGAGTTGTAGAGAGCAGTGAGGTCTCCTCTCAGTCTCCTCCACTAGACAACCCCAGTGTGTTTAAATGGCTAATGCTCCTTGTAGGTACAAAGGCTTGTTCATTTGTAGGTACTTCAGTTTGCAAACTAAGTTACATAGTTGAGCTTTAACTGTTTTCAGCAGAGATCGTGGCTGTCCCACATCTTAAAAACCCACCAGATTTGGTGAGACCCATCCTGAAGTCAAGCTTATGTTACTTTAATGGGTCTAAATTTTGGTGTGTCCTGGAGAGGAGAGGTTGCTGAGATAGGGGCACTGAGCATAATCATTATGTGCTCCAAAAGGGGTTAAAATGGAGTGCAGAACCTGGCTGTTCTGCCCTGAGGATCTCTTGGAGGGGACTCTGGGGGCAGTTCCTGGTGTGTGCATGGGGTTAGGGAGCTGGTAACGGGGCACTGGGGGCGTGTTGTGCAGGAGCAAAGGGCTGTCTGCCCTGGTCACTGCCTGGGGACTTCTGTCTCAGCTCTCCTCCTGCTGGGGGCTGGACTGGGGGTGGCCAGTGGCTGCTCTGGGCTGGCAGGAGCCGTGTCTCTGCTGGGGACACCACTCCCTGAACTGCTGAGTTCTGTTGCCCATTCCTCCCGTGGTTAACCTGGGGCTGGGTCACCCTGGTGGGGCTCAGCCATGACAAGGTCTGCGTGCCACACTGCACCTCCCACCCTGCAGGGGCTTTTTGGGAAGCCTGTGGGAGCAGCTGGAGAGAGCAGCTCCCTTCTCCTGTGGTGCACAGGCCCTGTCAGCTGCTGTGGGCAGAGGAGTGAGGTCCTGCAGGGAGAGGTGGCAGCAGTTCATGTTTGCCTCAGCTCTTTCTCAAAGACCCAAGATGAAGCTAGGCTTGAATTTGGATGCAGTTTGAGCTGAGGATTTATTAACATCCCCAGAGTGTGCAGTCAGAGCTGCTTTTCTCATCCTGCCCTCCCATTCCACCTGGGCTGCTTAATACTGCTCATAAACTGATTTAAACCATATTTATGTTCTCTGTCCTCAAAGAGAGCAGCCCAAGAGCTCTCCACTGATGCTCCTCTGGCCTTCCTTTAAAGCTGCATGGTTTTGGCAGTATCAACAGTATCTTCAAACCTCTCATTTGGGGGAATAGGCTCCAAAATGCTAATTTGGTGAGCAGGAATAATAACATCAGAAACAAAGCTCTGAGCCAGTGAATACAATATGTGCAGCGTTAGTTGGTTAATTAACCTTTCTAATATTTAAACCAACCACCTTTAAAACTCTGGTTTGTTGGCACTCTGGTTTGAACCCAGAATTGAGTGCTGAAGCAGAGCTCCTCAGTCCCAGCAAGGAAGGGCTGGGTGGTGTGGTCCTTAGGGTGCCAGGTGCTCCTGTGGAGGGTGAGTGGTGTTACCTCTGCAGGAGCTGCTCAGGGGTTGGGTTTTACCTCCAGCCTGTGTGCACAGGTGTGAAGACTCCAGAAAGACATTGCTGGAGGATGCTTGGCTAGAGTGACTCTTACCAGTGCTGGTGTGTCTGCATCCCCCCTGGCTTACACTGAGACTCTTTTGGGCAGAAACCTCATGGGAGGGAGAAAAAAAGGGCTTTTTAAAGTTTGATTTCAAAACCCAACCTGACCAAACCACCCCCAGCTTTTGTGGAGCCCCACGGGACGTTTCTCAAGCCGTGGTTTCCCACCCCTGCTGCTCTCTGGTTGGTCTTTCCTGGTGGGCTCCTTCGGGGCCAATCTGCAAGGAGCTGCATGAGAGTCCTGGGGAGGACATGGCTGGAGGTGACCAGCTGCTGCAGGGGCTTGTTGGGACATGCATCTGCTCTCTTTTCCCCTCTTTT